TCGACTACAATGCCATTCTCTTCAAATTGGTCAACGTCACGTTTGATATCATTAATAGTTGCTTTCAATGAGCAAATATCGTCATGTGTAGCTTCTTGTTCTCGAATAAGTTCATTTATTTTTAATTTTAATTGATGAAGTTTTTTTCGTTTTTCACCAACTTTCTCAACACAACGCTGTTGAAGTTCTTGACATTTTTCTTCATAAAAACGATCAACTGTAGCATGACATTCATGACGCCATTTATCCAATTTTTGACGACATTTGTCAATAACTTCATCAGCATTTAATAACGACAATTGATTATCAAGAGTATTTATTTCATCAGCAAGAGGATTCATTCGTGAATTTATTAAATCAACATGTTCTTTAAAATGATCAGGACAAAGATTCTTGTTGCAACAATGACATATTGCTCGTGATTTACGTTTGCATGTTTCGATAGCACACGATAGAGACATTATTTTATCGAAATAGTGATTTTGTTTTGTCAGTATTTGCGAGTATATATATATATAGATATAGTGTTCAAAGGAAGAGAAAAATGAATGAAAAGATCCAACATGATTAGTCAAATATGTACAATAACCGTCATGCCTATCCACTGTGATTGATCATCAGTAAGAATAATATCCTTCAGTAATGTTTCGGCTAATTCAAAACAATGATGCATTCATCATGTCGGCATTCTTTCTATCTATCCATTGTTTCATCCAGCATAGTCAGTGGGACACAAAAGCAAGTGAACAATTGGTTCGATTAAACATTCCAATACTTGGCGACATTCTATTATCTCACCGTCAATTGAGATGGTTTTAAAAGTCCGGCGAATTCCATTGTTAATAAATTCAACTTGAATAAATTTGTATCGAAAGCTATTCGTTATATTATTGGCTTTTGTTTTTTCTCTTGGAATCATGTTCATCATAAGAATTTATAAATAATTCTTCATATAAACTAACTGTTTGGATTTCTATGTTTTGTAAGCGAAGATTGTTTTTGGGTAAATAATTATTTCCTTGAAGGTAATGAAACGAGAGTTTGTTAATAAAAAGACAGTAGATGAGAAAGAACATGATAGTACTTCATATTAACGAAATTTTGGTTTATGTTTGATAGGTGGTTGTACAATAAAAGAACGAAACGCTACAAATATTCAAGACTATTTTTCTTCTTTAACACCATAAAAAATTTATTCTCCGCATCGTTCATTTATTCGGAATAGTTTCAGAGTTCATGATCTTTGTGAGAGTTTAAATTATTTACAGTATATGGTGATATCGGTCTATGTCCTTATACAATGAACATATAAAAACTTCACTGACACATGCCTGAAAATCAGTTTTTATTTAATATGAGCTGCATAGTTATACTAATGATGATTTAACCCATAGAAAACTTATTACTTATGAGAAATCGCCTGGTGGTGAGGATGTTCGCAATCATTAAACCCAAGTAAGAATTATTCGTGTAAAAGTCTAACAAGAAATCCTTAAAGCAAGTACTTACAGGTTTTCAGTAGTATCTATAGTACTATATTTGTATCCTCTTGATTGTTACCGGTACCAGCCAAAATTTGTGCTACAGAGCGAAATTCAAGATCTTCAAAATAAATCTTCTTCGTTTAGTTTCCAGGACAAACCGTACTGTGCTAAAATGAAGTATGCTGCTGAAAAATTACTATATTCTACGATATCTAAGAAGAACATTGAATATTATGTTTTTTTTAAATCTTCTACCCATCTTATTGTCATCAATGAATGTATTAAAGCATTTTAAATAACTAACAGATCTTTTCAATCGCTGAAATATGATATTGCCATTTTATTTGAAGAAAGATTCACTCAGACGCTCAAGATCGTACTAAAAGATACAGACTTAGATCTAAAATTTGGCGATAACTGCAGCACCATGAGTAACCTCTTGATAATAAATCATTATTTTGTTTCTATTTTATTCGATGCATATTAGCTGGTTTTAACATTTTTCTACTGAAATGCTTCTGGTAATAGTAAACAGTATGACGGATTGTGCATCGTATGATTTATTTTGCTGTCTTAGAAACATACAATAATATCAGTTTCTGATTCAACTACATATTCGTATCCCATATCCATATATTGAAAGAAATAGCATCAAATCTATTCAATTTCGTTTTTTCTGAAAATATTCATTCTTTTTATGCTAGATATATGATGATGACTACGAACGTAAATGCTTTGGTTATTATATCAACACTCGTGTTGATAATAAATACTGGCGCCGATCTAATGTTGACGAAAGTAGCTGATTTACAAGGGCAAAGTCTTGCACCATCAACCGTTTACACAAAGTTTCAGCCACGTGTATCTCAGGAGAACATCTTTAAGATTACTTCGCAGTCTCACTCTAGTACTACGCCATGCTTATCCTATGTTATATGAACTCAATTTCGAAGCCATCTGTCGGTTTCCTGCGAGTGGCAGTGCTTTCGAGCTAGAGTTTCTCTATAATGATCATACAGTCAGAGACAACACGTTTTACAGAAATGGATGGTTCAGCAGTCGGCTCAGAACGAAGTTGGTGGTTTAATCCATTGCCAAGTAGTCATCATTTTGTATGCTCGCAATCAGAAACAGCATATACCTAACCGCAGGCACTTATGCAATTGACGTTGGCGCTCGATTCAACTACTTTAGTCAAATCGAAGTCTTCAATGGGCAATTTGTCGATGCTTCGTGTTTCGCAATGAAAAGCTTCTTAATGCTTAAATAAACAGAATTTTTTTCTAAAAGTATCTATGCATCATTAACATTCTCGAAAAACTTCTTTGAATTTTTATCGTCAGATACATCATTGTGCATTTGAGTGAAATCGTTCAATCATTAGAGTATCAGCTTGAACTATAGAGTTGAAAAGATGTGATTGTGGGTTTAAATCTTTCCGAAGAAGGCCTTTACATTCTCAATTTAAGATTACCATAAATTCATGCATAATATGAGCTAAGCTCGTTCTTTCTATAATAAAATTTGATGTCGAAAAAGTTTGAAGGCAAAATATGACAAAAGGAACTAAACTCGGTTACTTCTCTATCAAAGATCCTTGAAGTATGATTTTGACCTTTGCATAAAGACTAATTGCATAATATATTGTCTCGCATCTGGATTATTTAAATTAAAAATGTAATTGAACGGTTTTACGTTAAAACGAAACAGTTGATTTTATATTTTTACACTAATATTATTAAAAGCCAATTAAGCCCTCTGGTTTTGATTCATCTACGTATAGAGAAATTAAAAGCTCGAGTAATTTGCTTGAAAATATTTACTGCTTTGAACTAAATGATCGCGTTATTTTGAATTTGTTTTTTTATTATCGGCTTCATGAAATTCCTAAATCAACTATGACTTGCCAATAATTCTGCATGTAAATAACAGTTTTTCTTCGTCTCGGTATTCTTATTTTTGATATGTATTTATAGACGTTTTGAGAGCGAGAAGGGATTTTGAACTATTGCCATTGCTCGAAAATAGGTGTTTTTGAATCATGATTTAGGAAACCTTAAGCAATTTAAAAAATGAATTTAATATACGTATCTCCTACAACGTTAGCGCAATTTTTCTTTAAAGCATTAGTTCGAATTTTGAAAAATTGGATCGTGATAGAAGTCTAGCTGCGAACTGATACTCTTCAAAGCAGCATGGAAGCCCATTGATCTTTATTGTGGAGGACGGTGTAATTTTTTTACTGTAATACACAGTCTTCAAGGTACATTCAAAATTCTAATAATTCTCTGCTTGCATCTTCTTCATAATAGCACTAAATCGACATCCATATTTTATGCATAACAGGCGAGAGAATAGCAGCATGTGTGATGGGCAGCTAGCTGAAGATACATCGAAATTGATTTGTCGTTAACATAAATTACATTATATATGCATACGTTATCGCAAATTCATCCACTATTGATTATGTAAAATACCCTAGAGAGCTTCTCTACCTTGAGGGTGTCAGTATGCTTTCGTCTTGACTTGACTTCACACTCACACCCTCAAGCTCTAATAGCAATTGAAAATTTAACCAAAAGAAATAACTGCTCCGGAAATTTTACTTAACGCCATAGGGATGTTGAGCAAGAGTCAACAAAAAAGTAATTGTACTATTTTTATTTAAAAAATTGAAGAACTTCAATTAGCTGAATGTGAATAGAAATTAGCAACCAAAAATGGTCAACGACGAATAGGTCATTTCATTTCCTCTCAAATAAATTCAATTCTATCATGCTTCTCATGTTTAAATAAAATCAGGTATTATTGAACTTTTGTCACGCTTCAAAACCTTAGAAACAAATTTACTCGCATCCTCATATGGTGATCTTGATGAAGAACATACTGCATGGTTGAAAAACACAAAAATGATAGGACCGATTGTCGAACGATTTCGTATGTTATACAATCAACTATTTTTTATTCTTACATTTTTTTGTTGAGAAGAACTCTATGATCATGTTATATGTGCTTGATAAGAACTAATTTTTTTCCTCTAGTCAAATATTTACATGTTTTCAGTAACTTTGTCAGATAATTTTAGTTTTATTCCAGTGAGTACCACTTGTTATGATGATCCAACAAAAGATTATCGAGGACGAGCCGCCTCAAACATTGTTCTTGACAATCAGACGCATGTCATGGTATGTAGTTTTTATCTTTTTGAAATGTTAGATTAATCTAGCTTATTTCTTTCTTCTAGTAGACATCGTTGAAATTGTGTGATGAATTACGATCGAATTTAATATTGAAAACTGGTGGAACAGAATCAGTCCAGATGATATTACACCAGAAGTATGTGTACGTGTACTTTTTTTATTTAATAGACTCATTTTTGCTTTAGGTGACGAGTTAAGACTTATTACAAAGAAAATTCATGGTCTAGCACAAACAATAATTTCGAAGTCATTAACAATTACTCACATGGCTATGCTTTCGAGGTGAAATTCCTTTCTGTCTCTTCTATTTAGACTGGTTTGTGGTATTTGTCAGGAAACATTAATTATCGATCTACCTATTAGTAGTAAAGTACATATTAAATATTATTCTTTCTTACATGAGCCAAGTTATATATGTTGCAGGAGAAAATATTCAATTATTTAGTTCGACTTCGAACTCTTTTAATTCAGACTAATACACCACTTGTGGAAGATCAATGTGTAGTGATTAATATCGGTACTGAATTACCCGATACGACAAGAGTATGTGTATTATTTCTGAATGCTCATTGAATCAAGATATATTAGGTACGTGTTTGACTTGAATTTGTAAACTATCTTCGGTATGCCTATGTTCTGTTTAGAGGTATTGGTGATGATATTCAAATGGGTGAACTTGTTTTTACAAAAGAACGTTCGTTTAGGATCCACTGAATTAGGTTTACTTGCTACAATTGGACTACAAATAATACATATTTATAAGAAACCATGTGTAGT